TTAATTAATCTTTAAATAAATTTCCGTAGTAGTAATAATTACAAGACAATTATTGCTCAAGTATACCCGTGAATAATCTGCTCGGCCTCGGTCTCGGGCGGAAACAGCAAGGATCTACACACCGGACAAGTCACCTGACCCTCATCTACCCACGAATCTAAGCATTCTCTATGAAAAGCATGGCAACAATTGCACAGCTGTCTCACCTCTTCCCTTTCCTCGATATCACTCAAGCACACGCTGCACAATCTATGGTGGTAATCACCATCTTTTTCTGGTAATCTAATTTTGATGAACTCTGCGTATTCCACCACCGGTAGCCTCATCTTGATCTGGCCAGTCAGCTCCTGAACCGTGACTGGGACTTCCCTGAGAGATCCACGATACCTTAAAAGAACATAACCCGTGACGTTAAAGTCATCGGAATTATATGCTTCTTCCGCTCGTTTGAGTAGACCAAGACGAGCAAGCCCCGCTCGGAGCATTGGCATGAAGCAGCGTAAGAAAGATAGCAGGATCAAGGTAGCGACACATTTTGTAATTTTGAAGGCAAAGCAGGGGAAACTCATGATCTTGATTTTTTTTTTTTTCTCAGAGATCAAGGGGAGAAGGGTTCAAGGCAATGGAAGTAGCAATTAAGTCATTGACAATTGAGGATGTATTGTCGCGATTTAAAGAACACAGATAGGATATCTCTTTGGATTTGTGGACCACAAAAAAAGGAGCGTAACCAAAGGGTTGGACCTAGTGATGGTCTGTATAATTAAAAGTATTATTTTATATGTTAAATTTAAAATATAAGATTTGGGATTAATATTTAAAAAATTATTTTTTTATAAATATATATTTAAATTAATTTTAAATATATAAAAATTAATAAAAAAAATTTTAATTGCCATAAATAAATAAATTAAAAGGACGTTCTGGTTCGTTAGTACAAGAAATCTGATTTTTTTTCTTCTTTTATTGAAGCTATATATATTGTTAATTTTCAATCCCCTAAAAATAGAAACCATAATTGGTACATTCAAAGAAAGTTATAATAATTAATGATAATAATGCCTTCGAGACATAGTAGTGGCTGGGTGGTAGTTTTAATAAGTCTGTTCATTTATTTATTTTTTGGGTTTAAACTGGGGAAGGACATCATCAAGAGCATGCTTGGTAAGTCTCTCCTTTGATTGCTGTTTACATTGAAGCAAAAAGTTATTGATGAGAAACTCTATTTAACAATATAAATTGT